GCCAGCTTGCAGTGCTGCGTCCCAACCCATTGCACCAAAAGGGAGGGCCCAAATACTACATCTTTATTCATTCAGATGTTGTCAGGCACGTGGGTTATTTCCACATCTTGGTTGTACGTGCTTTAATGAACATAAGGGTGCATCTATCCTGAAAGAGGAAATTGATCAAATGTCCACTGTGTACCAGATGCTGGCCACACCAAGTTGAAGACATAGTGGCTCCTTTAAGATAGATACAGTCTATTGGATGAATGCACTTTTCTTTTCTTTTTAAGATTTATTCATTCATATAGAACTGGGGTACAGGCCAGAGATGAGGAGGGTGAGAGGATTCACCAGAGACAGAGTGGGGAGAAGAACAGGCAGATCTACAAGTACACTGCTGAGGGTAGCAGCGGGCTGGTCAGGAGAGGTCTGCCGCGCCATGTGGTCACCTCCAGGGCAGGCGGAATAGAACTCATGCGGAAGTGGCTTTAGCTTCTCAGGGCTGTGCTTTAACCCACTGCGCCAGCAGGGAGGGCCGAATGCACTTTTCCTTAGGAAAAAACTCTTAAGACATTTAAAGATGACTGGGCCTTCACCAAGACATTGGTCTCTCACTGTCCTGGCGTTTCCTCTCTAGGAGGGAGCGGTGACTGGTTCTCCTATGAGCCCGGCCGCAGCCCTGATGCCCTGCAGCTCCCGGGCTCCAGCCAGATGTGAACCTCAAGTGAACCTGCTGGGTGAGGAGGGCATCTGCAAGCTGCCAGGGAGACTCCGTGAGTAGAGGGGAGATTAAAAAAATTTTATGTATATTTTTACGTTGTTGTTCGTTTTTGTACAATGTTTGATTTCTCCTCTTAGATGTTGGCCCCATAAAATTACTACCACCAGGACCCCTGTGAACCATCACCATAGACCCTTGTGCTCTTCTCTCCCATTCTGATCCCTGTCGCTCCCCCTCCCTTGATGGATTGTCTCCAATTTATAGTTGGACTGCGTGCTTTAGTTTTTTTCCTGATCCCTTGTATGGTTTCCTTATGTTCTCATAAGTGAAATCATCCGATATTTTCCTTCTTATTTATTTCACTAAGTATAATCCCTTCCAGCTCCATCCATACCATGCTATGAATGGTATACATTTATCTTTTTCGATTGTTGAAAAGTATTCATTGTATATGCCACATCTTCTTGAACCAGTTCATCTGTTTTTGGATATTTTGGATATAGGTTGCTTCCACTTTTTAGCTATTGTAAATAGAGCTGTGATGAACATAGTTGTGCAAGTGTCCTTTAAAAATTATGTATACAGGCCCTCCCTGGTGGCGCAGCGGGTTAAAGCACAGCACCGAGAATCTGAAGCCACTTCCGCATGAGTTCGATTCCCGCCTGCTGCCTGCCCCGGAGGAGACCACATGGCGAGCCAGACCT